GCATAAAAAAAGAAACCAGGAGCATAAAAGAAAGAACTGCAAGCATAACAGAAAAAAACATTAGCATAAAAAAAGCACTATAAGCATAAAAAAAAGAAACCCATACCCCAAAAGCACACCAACCCCGCTGTGAGCATAAGAAAAAAAACCATTAGCATAAAAAAAACACCCAGCCCAAATGATTTTGTCGTCAGCTGACAAATGCTACATGATGCAAACATACCAGTCCCTGCAGGTCCAAAAACCCAGTGAAACTTGGTCCTTTACCTCATTGAGTAGTGTTTGTTGTATGACGGTTCTGGCCACACCAGCTTCTTCCCGTCGAAACCTTTTGACACCCTGTCATGTCGTTGTGTTCTAAGATTGCTACGTACTCAGCGCTGGTTTGCGCGGCTGCACAAGGAAACCTCCTACAAGGACGGTCCAAAATTATCCAACCAACAGCACGAAGCTACTGCGGGCTTTGTAGATGGGTAATTTAATTCTTAGATCTATAGAAGGAACACTTGTTATACAGTAATAATGTACTTTTCCCGCTTATCCCTCCAAAAGCCTATTCTCGTGCTCGCTGGGCTGACACTCACTGGGCACTCACTGGGCACTGGGCTGCCACTGCTACACCAAAAACAGGCCTCCAATCCCACCAAACACTCTCAGCCCTATTCAGCTATAGTCATAGACCTCCAAGTACATCCTCAGAAGGTATGACTGGACCCTCCTGGCACCTACATCACGCGCAGTGTCTCCAATCACCAAACCTGAGGTTCGGTACGCCTGGATCCCTTCGCTACATCTCCTATGACGCACCCCATGCACCGTGTCATTCACGCGCTGTCTGCGAACTCCGCCGAACTCCGCACGTTCCGCGCTTGGCCGCCGCGTTTCAGTGCCAAAGTAGATGAGCCCTGCATCGATCGCGGGCGCCTGGGGCGGCACACGGGTGAGTTGGCGAGTTGAGATGAGTGCCCAAACACGACCCGTCTGGGACTGGCATAGGACTACCGATCAGTTGGGGTAGTTGATTTGGGGTCAGTATGTAAATATGCCAGTCCCATGGAGTGTCTGGGATGTGTAGGAGGTAGTGAGGTCCCAATTCGGCCAATCAACCGATCTGCAGAAAGTTCGTGACATGAAGCGACTCTGCAATGCTACCAGTTGGAACCAGGCAGGTCGCCTCTCCGAGGCACGGTCTTGAACTCTTGAACGCCAGTGGCATGGGAACACTTGCATGGTGGGTAAACCGGCGAGTCCACGCGTTCCACTTCAAACTGTTGGTTGGATCCGTTTGGGATCCGTTTTCGTGCCGCACCTCAGGTGCGGTGATGTGTTGTCTCCACTGTGACATGAGACGGTGCCAAAACGTCGGGTCCAGTTGTGCCGAACCTGAGGAGAAGGTACGACTGGATCTGTAGGGGATGATTCGGATGATGTTGAATGTCACGCCGTCTTCAACCAAAGCGCTCGGTCGGAAGGATGGTGCGGCAACAGGATCGAAAGGTATCGATTCCTCCCCTTGCGCACTGGTCAGAATTCTGACCATTCGGGAAGAGCTAATGTAGACTCTTGATTCATAATCCCACCCCATTTGGATTGAAAGAGTCTACATCAGGTTGATTCTGTGATGGCTTGAGAGACTTTGCTTTGAGGCCCATTCTGCCCTCCAGCAAAATGACCAACATCATACCATTTCTCTCCCAGCACCACCCCTTCTCCAGCTTGGTATGGCTTCCAAGGCGCTATGGAGGAGCGAATTTGGCTAAAACTGTTGTATTCCCAGACCTTCTCCCCAGTGGTCTCCTGGCAACATTCGGACATCCTGTAGCTTCCAAACCCACACTCCATCAAACGAGCTTGTTCCCGAAAGATTTGGTTGAAGGGCTCTTACTGAAGGCACTTGGTCTCACACATCTAGGACTTCACTTGCAAGAGTATAGATTAAGCACTTGTAAAGATCTTGCACAGGCTTTAGCACTGTAAGGGTCTTGCATGGCGTGATCATGAAGGTGATGTGTTCGACACCTGTGGATTTCCAGTGCCTGGGTCCGGTCGTCCTGTGGATCTCCAATTGGCGGGCTATTCTTCCCCCTCCTGCAGTGCGTACATCATGCCGTTGTCGCATCCGAAGAAGACAAAGCCTGGGCGTTCGCGGTGGTTCTTCTCCTGGACGCATCTATCCCATTCCAAGGAAAGCTCTCGGCAAAAACGGCTTGTCAAGTAGGTCCCAGGGACCCAAAAGTATCCAAAAGTGCAAACGTGCTGGAAGTCCGGCAATTTTGGCACCAACCAAGTGAAGGGGCCTTGATTTCGGGTCACCCAAAGACCGTTTCAATAGCACTCCCGGGGGGTTGCCGTGCCACAGCGCGCTTCCAGTGTGACCAGTACCTACCAACAAAGACCAGTACCTTCCAGTACCTTCCAGTATGACCTGAACCGGGACCCGTCACCAGGGGCACCTATTGGATAGCCTATAGGGTTCTTCAAGCTCTGCTGGTATACCCCAAAGCAGCTATGCTCGCATTAGGGCTAATAGTAAATTAAGTAAGTTTCGTTGATGATCTAGATTGGTCTAGGTTCAGGGTCCTTTTTCCACCTGGTGTTAAAAAGAACAAACAAACAAACGCCAATCCCCCCGAATCAGAAGCTTCACCCCGTGCACCTCCGCCCGAAACCAACCTCACGTGCACCTCGACCTCCCGTCCCGTCGGCCTCGATGCACAGCGGCGGAGGTGTAAATGGCGGCCTTGGCATCGAAGTGCCAAACCTCCAAAACGCCGCCGCGCCGTGCGGCAGACTGCGTGCAGACTGCGACGCGTCAGACTGCGGCAGTGCAGACAAAGAGGGAGACGGGCCCATTGAGATGGGGCCCATGGATGGGGCGGGCATTGAGATGGGAGAAAGGAGTGTATTTGAAGAAGGACCTCATCCAAATTCAGCAACAGGTGCTTCGTGATGTTTGGGAGGGGCGGTCGAGAAAGTCATCACTGATGCGTCTTGTGAGGATATTACTTCACCTCGCCAAGTATCACAATCTGGGAGGTGAAACTAAAGGTTATATTGAAACACATCAGAAATGAACAAAAAGCATGGTGGTGCGGGATTCACCCCGTTCAATGGTTTCGCCACAAATCCGGCCTCCAAATCGCACCCCAAATCCGGCCGCGTCCGTGGCTTCGATGCTACCCCCAGACACGACTAATGGGACTGGCATAGGACTGCCGATCAAGCCAGACCCCTCTGACACCACCCCTGGCCTGATCGGCATATATGGCAGTCCCCCAGACGCGACCCTGTGCCCGAATCCTCTGGAGGGGTCGGACCCGAATCCTCTGGAGGGGTCTGGGGTCTCAATTCCTTAGGTTTTGAGGGACCAGTCGGGCGTCGTTCACGGAGCGTCTGGGTACATGGAGTGTTTGGGAACCTCCGGACCGACACCTGGTGGCCGGTCGATGCTGGTCCCCCTGGACCGGCCTCTACACCACCACGCTCCTGGATCCCGTAGAACTTCCCGGAGCCGCTCCCCACGAGCACCTCGACGCGGGGAAGCCATCACCGGGTCGTCACCGGGACGAAAACGCCGCGGCATAAAAGGAACCGGAAGAGCGGCCCGCACTGGGAGGTGTTTCAATTGGAACCTGAAAAAGTAAAACATATTTCCAAGGTTGGGGAAGCCCTGGAAGTCAAAGACCATTATTCTAAAATGGTTGATCTGGTTTTGTAGCGTAAAACCCTAGAGTCAAACAGCTGGTGCTTCGGGATTCAGGCAAAACAATCACCCCAACTGATCGGTCACGACGATCGTCCGGACGAGGATCGTCCGGGATCGACCAAGACGTCGACAGATCGGGTCTGGGAGTGGAGGTCAGCCCCGTGAGGGTTCGAACGTGGATTCGACATGATACCTGCTTTGTACCAAGACCATCCAAGAGGTGCCTATAAATAGCCTCTATAGAGGTAAAGGGGGTGTCCAAAAACCACCGGACTTGGAAGGTCCTGGTATAGGGCCATGTCCCATTTTGAAGTACTTTGGAGGCCAAATTGGAGCCCCCAGAGACAAATCATGACACACCAACGAAGCGTGAGCGGAATGTGGTGCTTTTGGGGGGGACCATGGTCCAAACTCAAGCGTTGAAACCAACCACAAAAAAAAGAAGATCTAGGCCCTTATTATACTAGCGCTGGGGTTTAGTCACCCGGGTTTGCAGAAAGTCACCCGGCCGCAGGGAAACGCAGCATTAGTCAAAAGTCACCCGGCTCGTGAAAAGTCACCCGTTTTATGTTAAAACACAATGTAAACGCTTTACGGCCTTACGGAAGTATCTTTGTCAAAACTGTTATTCCTGTGCAGGAAAGAACTAGTTTTATGTCGAAGTTTGCAGCGTTTTGGCGACCGAACCCCAATCAGAACGCAAGGTTAGGAAAGCAGAGGGTGACATCTTGCATCTAACCCCAATGGAAACGCAGCATCCAAACAATGTTGTTGACCTAATGCTCTTCCAGTTATATTGCCATCTTGCATCTAACCCCAATGGAAACGCAACATCCAGACGACTTTCTACAAGACCAGACGACTTAACACAAGTGCTTGTAGGGTCTATTGTTTTTCTGAGAAGGCGCCCTGGGAAAATGATTGAAGCATTGAACACATCCTCCACATCCCTGGACACATCTGCCTGCCCACCCAAACGCTCATGGGCCCTCATATGGAGGGGTCTGGGGTCTCAAATCCCTAGGGTTTTCAGGGACCAAACGGGCTGTTTTTGGAGCGTCTGGGCATACAACAAACACTACTCAAGGAGGTAAGGTTCCGCGTTTTGCTGGGTCAAACTGGACGTTCCGTATAGGGAACGTTTCTTGTGGTTTCCAGGGTGGTCGGAATTGCCCAAGTCAGTCCTTGCTCCAGTTCGGTGCCTTCACCGCTGAGCACGGGTAAACTACTGGCTCCTACCCTTGCACATCGGGGAGGCCTCGCCTGTGGCCAACGAATGACACAAACACGAATACCTTTTGTACTGCCTCACCTGGAATGCGTCATCTCAAAAAAATTGAAAACTGATTTAACATACAGGTACTTGTACCCATTTTCCGAGGTACTTTGAGACTCCAGGTAGATATAAATTATTGTTAATTGTCCATCATCTTGTATCCACTATACTTCCATCATAGTAATACATAGGTTGTTCTGGTGAGCTTCTTGGTGTTGTTTGAGGGAAGCGGTTTTTCCTGTCTCCCTTCAGTGCCACTACACACATCTACACTTGCAATCACTCCGGAACCTTATTTTTGTACTTGACGAGTCAATGTAGATACATATGCCATGGCCATAGATGATATGGGTTTGCGGCCACCCAAAAGAAGGTTGCCTTATGGATTTCCCAGACACTCCATGGGACTGCCATATATATTCCGATCGAGCCAGACCCCCCTGGCACCACCCCGAGTGCGCGCTTTTCTCGGCAGTCCCAGACGTCGCGGACTGGGCTTACTTTATCCCGACATGTCCCGAACCAGCCATGACTGGTACACTAGCTCCACGACCGCCACGACCGGCTCGTCCTTCCACTTCCTTCTCCCGCCACGGCGCCAAGTCGTGGTCGACGGCCGCTGTGGTCCGCACGGGTCCAGAGGTGTCAAAGCGCCACATGAGGAGGCCGTCGCCTGAGCTCCGCGGTTCGCGAAGCTCGCGCAGCTCGCGGAGCGCTCTGGCCATCGGTGGATGGCCCAACGATTTCTAAGTGATTCATGGGGAGCACCATGCAACAAAGCAATGGTTGGTCAAGGTTCGCCAGGAGTCACATGTCGGGGCGGCGTTTAGATGTGTAGAGTCACTAAGTGAGTGGAGTAGCTGGGCACCCCTCACCTCCATGGATAGCACTCCTTTTTCCACCTGTTCCACCTGTTCTTGTTTAGCGGGTGAAACCCGCAATCTCCATGGAAAATCAGGTCAAGACACAGGAAACAGTCCGTGATATATCATCCCATGGGTGGTGGACAAACCTCCGAGCAAATGAAGTGTTGAAAACAAACACAAAACAACAAAACCAGTACAAAGCAAACATGGTGTTTTGACCCGCAAATTCTTGTTGCAAGTTGGATTTTGTAGCTAATTCCTAGTGACCAGGTCGTGGTGTTTCTACTATTCTTGTATCCCCAAACCTTTGCACAAGAGCAACAAAATACTGGGGTCACTGGTCGGGGCCCCACCAATGGCCATGTTGACAAAACAACACACATACTATTAAGTATCGTAATTACTATAGTATATACTTATACACTTACACCATCTCAGACTTATAATAGGATGCTTGTTGTTCTAACTGTATGTTTATAGATGTTAGTATCACTAACATATCCTAGACACTCCATGTATGCCATATATGTCTACATTGGGGTGGTTTGAGGGGTCAATGTAGGCATATATGGCATACATGGAGTGTCTGGGTATTGCTGATTAACAAGCAAAAACCTGACGCAACTCAGTTGTCACAGGAAAAATCTTGACCAAACCCATCAGTTTCGTTGGAACCGGTTGGAGGAGCGGAACCGGCGCGATGAGCACCACTTGGCACGATTCCTTGAGGAACTGCGGACTTGGCAACTGGGGAAAATACCATATACCTGGAGTCTCAAAGGACCTCGGAAAATGGATACAAGTACAGACCTGTTTTTTATGGGGTCAAGTCCCATTTTCTAAGGTACTTTGAGGGTCCAGGTAGTCGCCAGAACGAGATTCACCCATCTAGTGCAACAATCACCCTGATCCACTAGGCCCTAGGATTTGGGCTGTATACGGTTCTCTGGCTTCTCCTCTGTTTGTACACAAAAAAGGGTCCGTCTAGAAAACAAATGCCATCCAAGGGTATCGCAATCCAAACCTCGAAGCTCCACACAGACCCACACGAAAAACGACTCACACGGTCCTCAAGTCGGTTCCCTCCGTCTCCGTCGTGTTTTGGGTGTGACCAACTCCAATCCCAACCGCTCCATATAAACCAGACCACCATAGAGCTGCAAACAGCAAACCAACGAAGAGTCAATGTGATACATGGAACCCTACAGTTATACCATGTTCTACCCATACACTCCATGGGACTGCCAGGACGGACTGCCGAGAAACAGCCAGAAACCCCAGTCCACCACCCCGAGTGCGGCCGTTTCTCTAGCCAGTCCGAATCGCCAGTCCCAGGGTCCGGGTCGTGTCAATGATACACATCACCCAGACGCGACCCCTGGACCCTCCGTGACCGGGCGTCTCCAAGTGGCCCAAGGGTTTTGTTTCGGGACTGGTCGAGCTGTGGGACTGGTCGGAGCGTCTGGGGGACAGGTCCAATTCACCTGTACACCCGGGTTCCGAGACCCACAGGTTCCACCGGGCGACCGGCATGGACCAAACTGGAAGACGATGTTCCGAATACCAACCCACTGGTTTTCAGGTTCCATGGTTAAATTTCATGTTGTCATGTAGTCATTTAGAACCCCAGCCTCCCTCAACGCGCGCGCACAAGAACGTATATGCGCATACGCTCGCATCTATGCGCAGAGGCACTCTCGCGGAGCGCGTAGACGAAGCCATCGTCCGAGCCGAAGTAGATCTGGAACCAGAGAGATCCGAAAACGTCCAAAAGGTCGGCACCAGACCCTAGGGCTCCGAACGCCCCATCTCCTCAGGTTAGGTGGTTAGACCCCCCAAAACTCACCCACCCCAACCACCGAACCGAAACGGAGGTGGTTGTTGGAGCCCTAGGGAGAGGCTGACTCCCTCAGATTCCCTGCAACAGAAGGGTTAACCTTTCTCTACCTGTTCTCGTTTAGTGGGGTGCCCCCAATTTCCCAAAAATTGTAACCTGCAGGTTGTCCACTTTTCCTGGATAGGAGTCTGACCAGTTCCGCTTCATGGGGCAGGCAAGAGGAACCGGTCCCAAAAACATGACCCCAAATTTTGACCCCAAAACCCCAACATGTCATCTGGGATTTGCTGATGATTCGGAACCTGGGAAAAGCACAACATCTTCACACCGGGATCAGCAAAGCCATGTCATATTTTTGAGACGGCCATCTTGACTCCCATGCCATCCTTTTGGGGAAGAACGGCTCCAGCAGGATATTATGCGTGCGAGCTTCGCAGTAGTTTCCATCCATATGCATGGCCGTGTGGCATATTTACATACATTGACCCCTCAAACCATCCCAACTGATGGGTAAATACTCCATGGGACTACCATATATGCCGAGAAACGGCCAGGGGTGGTGCCAGAGGGGTCGATCGGCAGTCCTATTCCAGTCCCATTAGTCGTGTCTGGGATTGGTAAATACTCTAGTCCCATCAACATTTATCTCTCTGTTGCCCATTCAACGTCCAAGACTCGACTCTTACATCGCCTTTGGGATCCGTTTTCGTACCTCCTCAGGTTCGGTATGACTGGAGCCTCGCGCCAAAACCCAAGTCAACTTGGATTTGCTGATTTGGAACCTGGAAATATTCTCCAGAAGGAAATATAACGACCTGGACCCTCCAAAGTACCTTAGAAAATGGGACATGACCCCATTAAAACAGGTCTGTACCCATTTTCCGAGGCACTTTGAGACTCCAGGCGCAGGGAAACGAAACAATCACCTGATCAGCCAAACCAGGAGAAGGTACGACTGGAGCCAGGTACGTACGCGCGTACTGGAGCCACGCACCGGTCTCACGCGAGGTGCGACTCGCTTCTGCCAGGTCATCCAGAAGTGTTGATCTCTTCATTCAGTAAAAGCACCAAATGACTTTTGAACACCTCTTCATATGCCAGGAGTGGTTTGGTTCGTCCCATCCAGTGAGTGGAATAGCTGGGCAACCCGACTACCTCCAAGACTCCATTGATAGCACTCCTTTGTGACCGTTGGTGTTTTTTTTTTTTTTTTTTTCTCTTACTTCCACTGCGAATCTTCCTGGAGTCGACCGACAAAAGTACCTCAAACAACGGGTATACTACAGATCGATCTATACCGGTTCTTGTTGGGGTTCGGCTCATGTCCATTTGCCATCCATCGTCCAGCGAGAGCGTATGCGCGCGTGTCGGTCCGTCGCGCGCGTCCAGCCTGGTCTTGTCGGATGTTTTGGCTCATCGCCACCGAAGAACCTCACCGGGTCACCGGGAACCGTGGGAAGAGCAGGAGAATTTGGGTAGAGCACGGGCGCCAAGGGAAAATGATCCCGGCAAGAGACCCCAAACAGTGTGTGTCTAGATGCATTGGGGTCCAGAGGTGATGGTGGTGATGAAGGTGGAGTGAGTGTGAGTGAGAGAGTGAGAGTGAGAGCAAAAGTCGTGAGTGTGAGTGTGAGTGTAAGTGTGAGCGAGTGCGCAGTCGAAACTCATGTCGACGATTTCGAGAGGCATGAATGTATAGTGTAAATAGCAGCGAGTTAGCCGGTCACGCCCGCGCGCTTCGGCGATCTAAGCATCAGTTGCATCAGCTGCTTTTCTCCTACCGTAAGAAGCCCTAAGTGTGTCCACAGTGTTTGGGGAAAAACACATATCTGGTCCCTATCTGCGTTGAGAAGGTGGGCCAGGGTGGATGCCAGGGGGGTCGAACATCCATGGCCCATGTGGACCGCCTTATTGGCAGCAGCCACTTGCACGAGTGAGGCCAAGCATGTCTCAAGCCAAGTTTTTGATCATGTAGAATGTTTGGGTTTACTTAACCCTAGGGCTCCAAGTACCTTCTAAGAAGGTGTTTGGAGTAGGTTTAGAGGCTCCAAATATGTCCAAATACCTTCTGAGGAGGTATTTGGAGCCCTAGGGTAAGGAAGCTGGACAAAAAACACCATATTCACCAAAAGAGGAAAAACATGATATAAACTTGTAAACAATCACGCCCCTAAGAGCCCTTCCACTTCGTGGGGTACTCTAGGGTAGGTATCTACAAAGGACATCTGGTGTACAAAACGCGCACGTGTGAATGTGACTAGGAAAGACCGGTAAAATACACTGTCACAAACGAATGTGTCGGCACGAAAGGCATCGAATTCAAGTGTTCCACGAGAGCGAAGCTAACTCTTGTTTGAGACGGATACATTTTTGGACCCTCTGGTACAAATTGTGTCTTGTAGCACAAGGTAAATCTATCCCTAGGGCTCCAACCACCTCCTGAGAAGGTGGTTGGGGTGTGTTTTGGGGGTCTAACCACCTTCTGAGGAGATGGGGCGTTCGGAGCCCTAGGGTATATTGGCAATGGAATCAAGGCACAGTCCAATTTCGGCGGGCCGGTGAAATCGTCGGACACCGAGGCGCTAATGGGTCCGCCCGTCTGGTAGGACCACTCCAATTGGCCCGCCTCTTCCGGTGGCGGACGACTTCCATGCGACGACCCAGTGATCGGAGGGGGACGCACGCTCCACAGATCTGGGCGATCTGAGGGGTCGTCGATCACCTGGATTAGGTGATGAGCTGCCCAGGGTCATTTGTTCAGGTGCTCAGATTTGCATCAGTTCCCGTAAAGAGACCTTCCTATTAGGTCCTAGACATATAATGCTTGGATTTGCTTTGAGGGCACGGTTCCAAAATAAGCATACCTCTATATCGCAAGCCCCCGAAAGGGAACTTACCTATAGGGCATAGGGAAAAATACTGAAACATATTTCACCCGAAGCAAAACCAGCTGTGGCAAAGTGAAATTGCAACAAATAAGTGCGTAAGTCTTCCAACAAAGCCAAGCACTTGAAGAACCAAACGTGCTCCAGTACAAGTTTGAAGGCCACAGTGCCAAGCCCACCCGCCCAACACCAGCCAATCCTGGATGTGTAGGCCGTACCTCATGCGGAGGCGTCCTAGAAGAGACTGGAGACAAAGCGTAGAACTGACCACATTTGAGAGAAAGGATCTCTCAAGGATGTAGCTGTTCCTGGAATCGTCTCACAATGGAGAGAACTCTTGCAAATGCTCCTGCTGAAATGGAACCACTCCATGGCCTGCACTAATATCCCAAACACTCCATGGGACTGGCATAGGACTACCGAGAAACGGCCAGGGTGAAAGGGAGGTCAATAGGGCGGCAGTCCTTTTCCAGTCCCATGGACTGTATGGGAATGTAACTGTACGCTACGGACGTCCAGTCTGACCCAGGTCCCAACCTGGTTCTGAAAACCTTTTTGAACAGTGTGTTTGTATGACCAACTTCAGTAAAATGAGGTCGAACTGACTTGTAACTGTCTGGTTCCAGGTATCTTATTGACTCCTCTTCGTTGGTCAGCTGTCTGCTGTCTCATGGTCTGAACGCATGTATACGGGGCTACTGCTGTGCATGAACTGTGAGGGTATGCTGGGTCTGTGGGCAGTTCATGCCGTATGCCCTTGTTTGCAAGTTGGTCCTGTGGCTCAAATTGTTCAGCACTGACCTTTGAAGAATCAAAGAAGTTGCACTGGATCTGTAGAACCACTACGTTTGAAGACCTGCATTCTCGACTGACTACGACGTTCTCTCCGCAAAAAACCATTCGTCACTGGCACCCCTTAGGGGTCCATCACCACCTTTTGGAGGACTGCGCCATCTACTCTGAAACCACTGTAGATCAATGGGGGGGTATTAGCTTCATTACCCGGTCTATATGAGGCCCGGCCGATCCCATCTGGGAGACGGGGACTACTCACAGCTCGACCCTTACGTCCTGGCCCCCTGGAAGAGTGTGCCCCTCTACCAACCAGTGTTTTTCAGGGTCTATGGGATGGTCTTCCAGGGTGTAATGAAAAGTCAACATTACAGAGAGATCTTCAATCAGGCGCTACAGCGAACACATGACACATACATAACACATACCTCCTTCAAAGGCAACCTCTAGAATGCCACAAGGCCTTTTATAACATCACCCTTTACGCTTTGCATGCCTTCAGGAATGGCAAGCTACCAACACGAAACTTCCCAAGCAATTCTGGACCAAAATGGTTCAAAACAATTCAACAAGCATGTACCAGGAGTCAATATTGGAGTGCCGAACTTGGAGGAAGTCGGGGTGCCCAGCTACTCCACTCACTTAGGGACCAAACACCACCCCTTTGTGACCCCTGGTAGTTTCAGGATGTATCCAAAGGGGTGCCCAATGGAAGCCTATAGGTAGTGTGGGGTAGTCCATTGGACACCCCTTGGAGGGTCCAGGTAGTTTCAGGATGTATCAAGTACGTTTTGTCTTGCTCATATGAGGCAAACTGCCTGCCTCCATGACGTACGAGCTCGAGCGGCGAGCGTGTGTTGTTCGATCGATCACCTTTCGAGTAACAGTCAAACATGCGATGTATGGAATATCTAAATTTATCGATGTCTACCTGGAAACCCAAACAACCAGAAACGGTTGTTCCAATATGGCAATTGAAATCCTTTACATAGGAAATGGCTGTTTGGGGAAACATCCATTTGTGTCTGGTTGTTTGGTTTCCCAGGTGTATATATATATACATATATCTCTAATGAGGGTGCCCGGAGTAAATAAGCATCACTCCAAGAAAATACAACACCAAACAAGTCTCCAATCTTTCAACTACCATGGATTTAAATGGGTTGAATACCTGGACCCTCCTGTCGGGGTGTCCTGGCTGGACTACCCCACACGATCCCCAAAACGCTTCCAGACAGGGCACCCCGACAGGAGGGTCCTGGTATACATCATATATCTCTAATCTATAATAGTATATCCCAGACACTCCATGTATTCCATATATATATGCTATATGCCTACATTGACCCCCAAAACCACCCCAATGTAAGCATACATGGTCTCAAACACTCCATGTATTGAATATTTGCCTACATTCACCTCTGAAACCACCCAAATGTAGGCATATATTCGATACATGGAGTGTCTGGCCATATACATTCAGCCCTTTTCAACCACCTCGAAGTCTGAAAACCCAAGCAATTGAGACCCACGAACCCACACTCCACGCCAAGCTGCATCACGCCATTGTCCGCCCCAAAAAACAATCTGTTCCTTAGGCGGCGTGAGAGGCATCTTTCTTTTGCGACAAACGCTGTTCGGCCATAAGAAGAGACCGCAAAAATTGGTGTTCATGGATGGAAGATGATTGCCTGTTTGAAGAGTAGGTATATTTCATCCAGCTTCTTCCAAGTGACCTTTTTGGAGTCCCTAAGTGACCTATTACAGGCCTGTTGGTGACCTCAAACCAGGGGATCAACAGCTTGTTTAATCATGTTTAATCATGGAAGAGGTCGGGCCCGATGAGACAGTGGTAGCTTTAAAAAATGAACTTCCGAGTTGAGTGCGTCAGTATGCGTCAGCATGCTTGACCATGAACCCCCCAACACAACTATATAACTAGGCCTCCAACTGCCTGCGTTCCAAAGGTGATTGCGGTGGGTTTGTGGGGTCAAACATGGTCCAACCACCAAATCTGAGGATGCGGGCCAGGAGCCCTAGGAACACATCAATCAGAAAACGCGGAGTATGCAGCAACGCGGAGTACTGAACCGATAGAGATACTCTCCTTGCAGGGAAGTCCAAGTGTGAGGCGCCCCAGCAGTTTTCCACGTCCATGATTTGAGTCCCAGGGCATCCAGGCAGTTCCCACGATGTCGCTGGGAGTCCCAATGGTTCCAGTTCGACTAAACCGGTTCGACCGAACGAAGGGCCCCCGGTTCCTTACTACTCGTGCTTTGCCTGGGATCCACTGGGTGTGGTAGTCCCACGTTTGGACATGGCCAGCTCTATCCATGAGACCCCCTAACGAAGTAGACAGGCTTGTCCGAACGAGTATGCATGGTGGTCATGGAGTTGCATCTGCTCAATTGTCCGAGTATGATTGGCCTCCCGCAAACACGACCCGTCTGGGACTGCTCTATTTGCCGAGAAACGGCCATGGGCCGTGTCTGGGTCCCAGCGCTTATAAAAACATCAATGTTAATCGAAACTGATGAACCCGAGGAATCTGTTCCGGACACGACCTGCCACGAATCAATGTCATTCAATCTCCATTTTTAGCAACCCTTTCGGGGTGACCTTCCCTTTGAGTGCATCAGGTAAGAAGGGCACTCTCCTCAGCACCACTATCAATCGCCAAGCTGGTTGGTGGTTTCAACTCGAAACCTATGAGTCAGCGGGATTAATCATCCCAAACCCTACAGGTCAAAAACCTACTGTAATCTTTCTGGAGTTGATCATACAAAAGCACTACTCAGTTAGGCTACCAGGACTGCATGGAGTGTAAACATAAAATATCTGAAACCACCCAGCAATGCCATGAAGAACGTTGCACTTGTTCAAGAAAAACATCGAAAAACCGTCGCGCGTATACTCTGAGGTCATCATCACAGCTTCCCTTATGGTAGCAGCCAGGATGAAAAAGTAGTCCAACCAGTGTCAGCAACGAACATGTTAATCTTCAGACATGCGCTGTAGAACAGCAGGGCTCTCTCTCTCTCTCTCATGACTTCCAAAAAGAATACTCCTTCGCCGCGTGCTCTGCCACCGTTAGACCTGCTGGCATGTTTTTGACCCCAGCCCTCCGAAAACGTGAAAAAATGAAAAAGAAACACGTTGTGTTTCTTCATCCTGTTGTATTCTAAAATCATCAAAACTCCTTATAGCCAAAACAGCTGTTGCTTCGCTCCAAATGCCTCTTAAAGTGGAGGTGGTTGGTTGAAATCAGCCCGCTTGGCTGAAATCGCACGCTCGCTCGCCCCTTTTGGCGCCCAGCATCAGCCGGTCGTTGACCGTGGGCGTTGAGGAGACCGAGCCGTTGGCTTGGAAGCGCCACATCTCCTTGCCACCTGTGGAGCCGGCTGAGCGCGGCTACGAACCAGGATGGATTCATCAACCGAACCCTACAGGTCAAGGACCTCATTTGACTGCCAACAGAGGTTGAAGAACCCTAGGCTATCCCAGTTGGGTAACCCAATGAGCTCCTAGTTCAGGTCACGTTCCACCTCTCTTGGTGGTTCCAGTCATGCAAAACCATGAAGTCAAGGACCAGCTTTGACTTGGCCCGACTGGACTGGACTTGAAGCGACCATTGACATTCTGACCATCCATATAGGACTGTCATACTTATATTGGGGTTGTTTCGGGGGTGAATGTAGGCATGTACGCCAGTCCCATGGAGTGTTTGGGTTTGGCCCTAGGCCTCACACCCCTCCTCCGCTCGCGGCTTCGTCCAGACCGGCGACCTCGTCCGGACCTCTCCAAACACGAAAGCGTTTTGGAGTCCAAACACACGTGTCGCGTTTGGCCCAAATCGTTTTTTTTCTTCGGTCCGACGGAAAGACTTGGATTTAGCTGATTCGGAATCAGGCCAAAACACATGTACACATATACCCTACCTGGACCCTCCTGTCGGGGTGTCCTGGCTGGACTACCCCACACTACCGCACTAGGCTTCCAAACAGGGCACCCCGACAGGAGGGTCCTGTATAATGGGATTTTAACCATAGGGTAAAATAGAACATCACCTTTTCTCCGCAAAGCCAGGACCAAGACGTTCAGCGGCTACGCACAAATGCGTCCTTTTCTGCGTTTGAGAAGAACCAACCTCCCGGAAACCAATGCTCTGGAGGCCCGGCGCGGCCTCGCGCATTGAGTGCATAGAGATAGCCTCAGTTCAATCTGGATGGGGTTGCCAAAGTTGTCCAACAAAACTTGAGCACATCTTCTCCCTAAGGATCCACATACCTTCGTAGGGTGATTGGAGCAAGCTCGAAAGCCTTCCTTCCATCTGAGGAAAAAACATCTCCTCAAGAGTTCCAGTGGGATGGGCTTTTGCTCCCTTCAATTGTCACCTCCTTTTTCCGCCTGTACCAGGACCCTCCGACCTTCGGGGTGTCCTGGCGAACGACTACCCCACACGATCTACCGCACGAAAAGGCTTCCAGGTCCAGGGCACCCCTGTCAGGATGCGTCCGGGTAGATGCACCCCCACCCGACTCGCGCGCCACAACGGCTTCGCATCAACGTGACGTACCGGGTGCTACGTCGGTCATAGCGAAGCGTTTGGAGCTTCGGTGAAGAGGACGACGAAGGTCGGTGCTACGGGCCAGGCCGTTCACTGGTTCTACCTGTTCATTTTGAAGTGGAGAAACCAATCCCCCAAAAATGGTTGAAAGTTGGCAAATATATACCGCTTGCCAGGCTAGCCAACAGCTTGGATCCGAAAGCGAAACCCCCGGAGCCGTTTCACTGGAAACATGCATTGCGAATTTTAAAAATAATTACCCGGGTATCACCATGCTTTAGATACCCAAACACTCCATGGGACAGTCTTGACATTGGGCAAAGCTAAAAAGGATCCTAGATATCCCCTGAATTGTCAAAAAAACAGCAAAATTTGCGCGCTCTGGCTCACTGTCTTGACATTTGTATTACTTTTTGTTATCCATTGCCAACCTTACCGTCTTTACATCCAACTTGGGTCTAGGCCACGGTCCCCAGCAAAGACTTTGGAACTTACTATACCTACATCGACTACATTGGGGTGGTTTGGGAGGTCAATGTAGGCATATATGCATACATTATCAATCATTATCATATTATTAGTTCCGGGGAGTGTACATTGGGGTTGATTTGGGGTCAATGCATATAGGTAAATATATGCCAGTCCCATGGATGGTCTGGGATGGGAAAATCGGAGACTCTCTAAATAAGACGCCCCAGTGGCCATCGTCGGAGCCGAAGTAGAGGATGTTCTCGAAGACCGTGGGACTTGAGCCTTGGAGGAGTCAAGGCTCATGCCAACGGTGACTGAACGGACTTGCTTGGACTCCCTGAGCAGTCCAACACCCGGATCCGGAGTCCAAGCACCAGTGACGAACGTGCAATAGGTCTGGAACACAAACAGCCATGGTTGCACAGTTGCATTTTACAAAGCAAAATCAACCACTTAACTTAAATTATATATTATACTGATATATACTTGGACGGACATTGGCGACTTCTGGACAGCGACCCTATTGCATTCCAGGACCCCCGTCATAGCACAAACCATAGTTATCCTGCACCTTATATGAATCGTCTGGCAGGTGAAAATGGCACATGAACCGCTACACTTAGATGTCCGGAATGACCGTGTCCTTAGACGCTTGCAGGGTCCATGCTGATGCTGGGTCGCTGGATGAGCTGAATGAAAACGATCTCACCTTCTCGCCTTCTCGCCGGACATCGGGAAAATGCAGCTTCACCGAACAATCCAAACCGTGGGGATTTCACCGATCCCTGTAAAGGGACTTCCACGCTTTATTGAAGATTCTGTGATGCACGACTTACCAGCGCATGGGGTTCGTTGACTCCCTAGGGCTCCGAACGCCCCATCTCCTCAGGTTAGGTGGTTAGACCCCCATGGCACCCACCCCAACCACCTTCTCCTCAGGAGGTGGGCCCTAGGGACTATATATACGTTTTTCTTCGTGGTTTGGAGCCTCAGAACCCAGTCAGCAGCCGTCTGTGGTTGTAACAGACCCGTTTTGGGATCCGTTGTCGTACCGAACTCTCAGGTTCCGTACGACTGGACCCGACGTGACTTTTGGCACCGGCAAATCACAGTGTCAAACGCATACACCGTACCTGAGGTACGGTACGACTGGATCCCAAACGGGAGAGATCCTTTAGCGTGGTGAACGCGGCGCGGCGGCCTGTGGTGCCTACAACAGCGGCCTGTGGTCTCTACCCCGAGTGTCAAAAAAGATCGTTCTGTGGTTTCAGCCTATCTCTGTCTTGTCCAACAACTCTGAGCCGTCGCTCCTGAGCTGAACGAAGACGACCAGCTTAAGTAATCCAGGATCAAACATACTTCGTAACTTGTGGTACTTGTGGCTAGCTGAGCTGTGACAAGTAACTTGAAGTTGTACTATAAGTTCTATAAGTTATGTTATAAATTCTGTAAGTCCATATTGTAACTCATAAATTCCATATGAACCAGAGTCCTACTTATGGAACATAGTAGTAACTTGTGAACTTATAGTACTTATGTTGGAGGCTACTTATTCTACTTATGCTCTACTTATTTTTAGCTAGTTTTTAGCGATCGAGCTAATTCTAGGTATTTTCTAATTATTTTAGCTAATTTATAGCTAATTTCTACTTATTTCTATAGCTAGCTATTTCTGTTTGTTTTCTTTCAGTGTCTACTTACTTCTATAGCTATTTGTGTATATATGTTCCACGTTTTTTGACCTTCAATATGAAAAGTTCGACTTATGTTCTTTTTGTTTTTCAACAACACTATTCAAATAGATGTATCTGGACGCATGCGTTTGTGTGATGAGTGTGCTCTGTGAAGCGGCCCCGGGGACGCTCTGTTGTGCCTTTTTTGCGCGTTCGTGTTGGATCGGTTGCTGTTTTCCAAATACCTTCATCGAATACCGCCCTATCTTGGAGAACCTCAAGGACGACATCATGAAACTTGGTGAGGCGCTCAAATGAAAGAACGCTACTGCAGCGGAAAAAAACACGCAAGCGGCCTCAGGGACGCTCTGTTATGACCAAGGGTTTTCAAGAAACCTAGCGCAGTGTTCAGATGTATCGGAATGTATTGGCTTTACTTTTGATACTCCTCAGGATGACCCGATACATTCCGATACATTGCAATACATTCATTTTCAATCAAGAAGAACAATCAATATTGTATGTCTAAATATCTAGTTTTTGTAAAACTTCAAATATAGATTAAAACCATAACTTGGATGATGTATTGAAGTTTGGCTCAATGTTTCTAATAGAGATCTAGCCGGATCTGATCTTTCTGATGAAGTGGAGGCCGAAAACGCCGCCGAGGCGGTAAAGATAAAGAATACTATGCTAAATTGTCGAAACCATTTAGCAAAAAAACATGGCTAGCTGCTTGAAAGAAAAAGGAAAGCGGCCTCACGGCCGCTCTGCAGCATCAGAGCGTCCCTTTGGCCGCATGGAATTGTTTTATAAGACTTGTATATGTTCAAGAGAAAACACGTTGTTCTTGTAATAAATCGAAAACACAGGAAAAGCAAAACACATAAAAACATAAGAACACATATTTTAGACATATCTAATTTTTACTTATTTCTTGGTATTTCTAGGTAATTTCTAGCAATTTCTAGCTAATTTCTACTTAGTTTCTACTTATTTCTAGCTATAAGTAACTTATGTTATAAGTTCAATAAGTTCACTTGATGTACCTCAGCTAGCCTCAAGTACCAAAAGTCACGAAGTAGGTATTAGGACCTACCATGGCCAAGATGCACCCTGAGGTTGAGCGACTATCATGCTCTCCGGCATGGTCACTGTCAGCAAACAACCATAACTTACACTGTTTGGGATCATCACCAATGAAACCAGACTGGACGACATCGATCGTGGAATGAATGTAACACATGAGCCTATGCAGGGCAATGTCACCTTCTTGGATCAGCTTGAAGAGAATTAGGGTCGCATGAACAAGAGAGTGACACGGGTTGAGTATGACATGAGAGGCTTCCTTCGTCAGTGTTTAGAGAAGTATGAAAGTCTTGTTGACCAACCCGTGAAGTACAAAACCGTCAGCGCCCCATTCCATGATGACAAGATCGCTCGACCCATTGGTGATGAAACCGAGCGCCGGGGGGAACTCCAGGCCATTGCAAGCCGAGTCTTGATGAAGGTGTTGTTTGCCGCTCGCATGGAACGCTTCGACCTACTTCGTGCAACTCAAGGTCTTGCCAGTCGGGTTACCAAATGGTGCCTTGTGCACGAGCGGCTTTCTTGGCTTGGCTTTTGTCTCTAATTTTCTTTACAGCTGCGACGGCTATCTTTGGATCGGATATGCACTTGTCGATGAAGTAGGTCTCCCCTGTCCACCAAAAAGGCAATCCTTGCTGCCGGTCCACTTTGACATCGTGCCAAACATGTGAGGCACCCCCCGCATCCTTGGCATCGGATCCCGTGCGTGGAACGTATTCAGTATATCGCAAATCACCTGGTTCAAACAATCCGGCGGCGCTCGCAGGCCTGATTTCGAAACGCCGACGGGGTTGGACATGGTGATGGATGAATGTTCCATGTTCCGGAAAGTGTGTCCAATATTCCTGCGTCTGCGGACGGGAGCCGCTGGCTTACTAGCGGGATCATTGAGTTTATGGTCAAAGACATGCGCAAACGGGTGGTTCTCAACGGACAACTTGACATTGGGAGACACGACGTGGTCACATCCAAGGTATCTGCCCACATCTTCAGGGGTGTCCATATCAATGTGCTTCCCGACGAGCTCCCAGCCTTTGGCGTGATTTGTTTCTGGACCAGCCAGCTTAAAATCGCCGACATAAACTGCTAAGAGTAGAGACAGTTCAGCATTCCAGAAGATGGAAGGCCAACATTCCGGATGCACAGCATTGAAGCCCACTTTTGCAAGGCATTCCTCGCAGTGCCTCTCCCAGAAGCCACCGGAATCTGGGTGCCCATAAAGGGCTTACACGAGTGGGATCACGGGATCCTTGAACTTGCCGTGCCACTCCTTGGGCCAGCGGTTCTTTGGTATACGGATCCACGTGGGCTTGCTCTTCAGCGTGGTCTGCGTATAGGCCTGCTTCCCGTCGCCTTGGGTAATCTTGTTACCTGGCGCGCTGCCGAAGCAGTCTAGGGCTTTACCCGCTTCCATGTTTGCTCCAAAGCGCGACCATGTCGGATTCGACTTTCACGTTGTTTCCCTGAAACACGGTCCTGCCTTTATATTTCCTCAACGGGTTCCCTTTGGGAAGTTCGCTTCCCTTCTCCACGCAAAGTTCAAACACTTTGCCAACATGGGCTTTGGTGTTGGTGCGGGTGGCCTCGGATAAAACATCCTCCCATTCACGCACCTTCTTGTACAACCACGCGGGTTTGGATTCCAGTTTCACCCACTCAACATCCAAAGAACGCTGAGCATCGGGGGTGTCCCTGATCTCCTTTTGGCCTACAGGCCAAGCCACAAGGGCATTCAACCATGGTTGATGCAATCTCCCTTTCTCTCCATGCTCATGCTGTTTTGGTTCTGGCTCGACTTGGCATGGCACACCGTCCATTTTCGGTTCAGCGGGCACATCACCACTCTTGAAGTGGCGCAACTTCCCATCGATTTCAGCGACAGCTGCCATTGTGCTTGTCCTTCTCGGCCAAGAGTCTTTTCCGAGCTTCTTCAAGCTCATACTTCGCTTTGGAAGCGGCTTTCCACAAGAAAGGAGGGATGTCAGGTGGTTTGGATGAACCTTTGGTCTCGATGACCTACATGGACTGGTGGTGAATGGGAAAAAAGGAAGGTCATTTCTTTGAACATGTCAATCGATACCTATCATACCGATCATCTGGGCCTAAGTGTGGTTTCCTTTTTTGCCTAGATTCTCCTTCAGTTACTATGGATCATCTGGGCGCAGCATGGCGCCGATGGCATCCCGCGCTCCTAGGGCTCCGAGCGGATGCGCCCGCCCGTCTTGTGGATCCACTGCTCCGTGCCGTTCTGCCTCGGCATCGTCGGGACCGGAGATGGAGGAGATGGAAGGCGCAGATTCGCGTGGAGGCCTCCACCTACAGTAGCTGCTTGCTCTGTTCGTAGCGATGCATTTGGCCTCAAAAAGTCGGTCCTATAGGGCCCATCTCTCGGGGCTGTTGAGCCCGGAAGTGCCATCGCCGTTTGCCGGGAGCCCCTGTCACCCAACCAAAGCCCCTCCGTCCCATTCGGCAACCCCCCCCGTTCGGTGCCTGGTGAACCGGAGCTGGTGAAGCGAACTTGCCATCTGATTCCTATCCCAGACACTGTATGCCGTGGGGTGTCCCTATAGTGTCCGTTGATCCAAGACTCCTTCTGGGTATAGGCAGGAAGTAGCGTCGACGCTTCGCCCCACACATCGGACTCCCGAGCTGGAAATCCTTGGAGAGTCAAGGTTCACCCAACTTTTCACCTGCCCTATAAGACTCCGGGCCCGAACCAACACATAGGGTTGAGTTTGGGTCCGGACCCCGCGTGAAACGGTGGAGAAGGTCCGACCCCTGCCATGGAGAGTCCGGGCCCGGATTCTTAGGGCTGTTGAATCTGAAATGATTTTGAATGGGGATCTTCGTGGCAGTCATCAAATACAGCTGAGCCCTGCGCCTCCATTTCCTTGACTCAACCTCGCTGGTGTCCCGAGTCTTGTAGGTGACCTTCTCTACCAACAAACATGGGCTCTGGCGCTCGCGCACGTGCCGCTCCCTCCGGGGTACTGATGTAAGGCCACAAACCGCCCATCGTCGGTTCCGAAGTGCACCTGATCCAACCAACCCCCGGCGGCACGGCTCACGGCGGGTGTGTTCTTTGGTTTCAAAATCCCCCTGGAGACTCCCCCCAGACTTATCTTATGGAATAGATTGGGGTCACAAATGGGGTAACTGCTGCTACTACTACTACCACTACCCCTACCACTGCAACAACAACAATAACAACAACAACAACAACAACTACAACTACTACTACTACTACTACTACTACTGCTGTCACTACTACTCCTACTACTCCTACTGCTACTGCTACTGCTACAACTGCCCCCACCAAACGGAGACAAATCAAACAAATGCCGCCGCTGTGTGTAGCGATGCCACCATTGAAGGCGATACCCATGACCTTACCACACAGAAGGAGTTTTGACCGTCGCACGTCTGCGTCCATGTCCAAAAAGTCTGCCGCATTGTGAAAACAACCTTTAACGTAAGCCAGGTTCAAAACGTGGAAAACGATAATACACTCACCAAGTTGAAATGTGCAAGGACCGCATAACAAATAAACAGCGTCGCTCATATCCTTCAGGGTTCGTCTGGACCCAAACCATCCATGGGACTGTAAGTAGTAGTAGTAGTAGTAGTAGCAGCAGCAGTAGTAGTAGTAGTAGTAGTAGTGGTAGTAGTACTAGTACTAGTAGTAGTAGTAGTAGTAGTAGTAGTAGTAGTAGTAGTAGCAGTAGCAGTAGCAGTAGCAGTAGTAGTTGTTGTGGTAGTGGTAGTGGTGGTGGTAGTGGTGGTAGTAGTGGTAGTGGTAGTGGTAGTGGTAGTCGTAGTCGTAGTCGTAGTAGTAGTAGTAGTAGCAGTGGTAGTAGTAGTAGTAGTAGTAGTGAGAGGGCGATGTTCTGGAGGTTGGCAACAGGTGTGTGCGCCATAGAGAAAGTGTCCACCCTTTGCCCTCTTTGTGATTCCAACCGTACTGACAACAGCATCCAAAGGTCCCAAATGATGAAACCCACCAAGGAATTCTCCATTCGCTCGCCTGGTGTCATTTCCTTGTGCATGGTTGAGCTGTATGCGAGACCAGTAGTGAGTGACCAAAGCAGGGCACCCCGGCAGTGCCAGGGCGCTACTGCTCTCAAGTCCATCTGGCTGTCATCGGTCGAAGTCACCAGGTAGTCAGGGCAACATAGCAAGTCATGCAACAGGTCGCTCTGTCCGTCCTTCTTGATGAACGCTGGCCCTGGAAGACCATGCAACAGTGCCCCCGCAAAGTCAACATGGTATGCCCCCAGCATCACTGTGCGACCCGCAGACATCAGCTGCCCGCTGGTGTTTTTGCTGCGTGACCTTCCGTGAAAAAGACTGTCCATACTACATTGTTCATCATTGATCTTATGAACAGTCCTGAAAAGTTGAACAAGCATGAACAAGAACATTGAGATCAATCATATCAAAGCACTCAAGCAATCTAATACAGTCTAGGCACACGGTCCTGGTAGCGCAACATGACACTCTCCCTGAAACATAGCAAACCTGATTGGATGTCTTGGTAGGGGGTGTTTGGGAAGGTCCAGGTAAGTGAGCTGGCTGAAGAAGCGTAGAGACTTGTCGCTGGCTTGAGATCCTCCTCCGTTGGAACTCCAAAAAGCAGGCGCCGCAGGCACTGGTCCTGTGTGGCTAAGATTATGCCAAGCACCAGATCGCTTGCAGCATAGAGGAATTGGTCCATGACTTTGGGCATGAACAGCGCATCCGTGTCAGCACAATGCACAGGCAGCTGAAGTGGACACAAGGGGAGTAGTAGTAGTAGTAGTAGTAGTAGTAGTAGTAGTAGTAGTAGTGGTAGTAGTAGTGGTAGTAGTAGTAGTAGTCGTCGTAGTCGTAGTAGTAGTAGTAGTGGTAGTAGTAGTAGCAGTAGTAGTAGTAGCACTACTACTACTAGTAGCACTAGAACCAGAAGCACTAGTACTAGTGGCAGTAGTAGTGGTAGTAGTAGCGGTAGTGGTACTACTAGTAGTAGTAGTAGCAGCAGTAGTGGTAGTGGCAGTAGGAGCAGTAGCAGTGGCAGTCGCAGTTGCGGCAGCAACAGCAGGAGGAGCAGTACTAGCAGTAGTAGTCGTCGTCGTTGTGGTAGTGGTAGTGGTAGTGGTGGTAGTAGTGGTAGTGGTAGTGGTAGTGGTGGTAGTGGTAGTTGTTGTAGAAGCAGTAGTAGTAGTAGTAGTAGTAGTAGTAGTAGTAGTAGTGGAAGTAAAAGTAGAAGTAGAAGTAGAAGCAGTAGTAGCAGTAGCAGCAGGAGTAGTAGTTGTTGTTGTAGCAGTCGTAGTAGTAGTCGTCGTCGTAGTAGTAGTAGTGGTAGTAGTAGTTGTAGTAGTTGTAGCAGCAGTAGCAGAAGCAGTAGCAGTAGTGGTAGTAGTAGAAGCAGTAGTAGTAGTAAGTAGTAGTAGTAGTAGTAGTAGTAGTAGTAGTAGTAGTAGTAGTAGTAGTAGTGGTAGTCGTAGTAGTAGTGCTGGCAGCAGCAGCAGTAGTAGTAGAAGCACTAGTGCTAGTAGCACTAGTATTATAAGCACTAGTAGTACTAGTGGCAGTAGTAGTGGTAGTAGTCGTAGTAGCAGTAGCAGTGGTACTAGTAGTATTAATAATAGCAGTAGTGGTACTGGCAGTAGGAGCAGTAGCAGTGGCAGTGGCAGTCGCAGTGGCGGCAGCAGCAGCAGGAGGAGGAGGAGCAGTACTAGCAGTAGTAGTCGTCGTCGTTGTGGTAGTGGTTGTGGTGGTGGTAGTGGTAGTGGTAGTGGTAGTGGTGGTAGTAGTAGCAGCAGTAGTAGTAGCAGCAGCAGTAGTAGTAGAAGTAGAAGTAGAAGTAGTAGTAGTAGTAGTAGTAGTAGTGGCAGTAGTAGTAGTAGAAGACCAGCCATGTCTTGAGCTTGTTTGGAAGATATATTTCAGATACAAGTGGGGCACTGGTTTCAGAGCACAGGTTCGTCTACATTTACGTTATCGTTTGGTTCTCGTTTAGGTTATCGTTTGACTACAGCTACATTTCGGACAAATCTGTCGCCAAAGTCCGAAGTCAAAAACGGCTTTGGGAAAGGCTACACTAATAAGCAGAAACGAGGTTCCCTGATGGTCTTCATGGTTAAAAAGCTGTACTGCAGCTATGCAAACTAAGCTTTCCTATAGTTAAACATTATGCTATCAATATGTTATATCGTTTTTTGATGAGTGTATTATCGTTTTCCAAGTAAAATGCAAATTCTGCAATCCCAATGTCGGGTCCTTTACTAAATAGCTTTCCGCAAATAAATCAGGTTGCTCATATGCCGGAACACCGACAGGATTTGCTTGCAATCACCGAACTGTCCACCGGTTCTCTCGTTCGCCGAAACCGAGAAGACCAGGAACAAAAAACAGCTACTAGGAACAAGAAGCTACTAGGTGGCCATCGCTATTAGGTTGGAGGCCATCGCTATTAGTAACAAAGGGCATCGCTCACCTGCTCAATCACAGGCTTTAAGTGAAGCAGTTCGGTCATGATTTGTCCCCTTGCAAAACCAGACTCTGGCGGATCCACATAACCTCTTTATGAATTTGATTGGATCTACTCTTTGATCAGGTCCACTCGTAACAAACCTGAAAGGTACTATATGGAGGACCATCCGTACGGGGTGCCCTGCGTGGACTACCTTACTACACATCCGACACCACGAACATGAATCTCCAAACGGGACACCCCTTGGAGTATCTCGGCCTGTGGATGTTTAGGATAGAACATGGACTATTAAGTTACCAGGGTCGGGCTCAAAGGGTGACCGCTGTGTGGATCCCTAGGCTTGGGGCTTAGGACACCCCCAGCTGCGCTCTCCGATGTCGGAACGCGCGAGCCACGATGGGATTTTCGGGCGCCTGCTGCAAATAGATGACCGGCGTCGTCGCGATGAGGGTCTCGCCCCTTGGGGGAGCCGTGGCCATTTCTCTCGCCCTAGGGCTCGTCTTGCAGAAGGTAGTTAGACCCCCCTGGCACCCCTGGCCGCCCCTGGCCCACCGAACCGAAACGGAGGTGGGCCGTTCGGAGCCCAAACGGGTATCAAACCGGGCAGAACACAACCATATCACTCCCAAGTAAAAGCGATCCCATGACCCCGCGGAACTCGGCAGGGCCAACCACGGTGTTCAGGATGGTTGCTTTTCAGTGGGGTATTCCCCAGAGAGGATTCACCCATCCCCCAGTGGTACCTTCGTTTCGGTTTGGACTGGGGGCCCGGGTGACAGGAGGGTTCAGTCATACTGAACCTGAGGAGGAAACCTCCTGGAGGTGTAGGGTATTTATACCTGGTTAGTGACCTTTTGATAACCTGGTTGGTTCGGTCACTTGAGCCTCCTAAGGGTCACTTAAGAACCTTCGAAAGGTCACGAACTGAAGAAGCTGGTATACAAAAATTACTGACTAGGCAGGCTGCTGTGCCACAACGTTCGCCCTGACATCTTCGCAGGGAGAGATCATCTGACATCTTCGCAGCCTGGACCCTTTCCACCCCAAACCCTTTCCATTGATGGTCAGGATTCCGACCCAGACTATCCATTGCAGAACATTTATCTCAACATGGTCCCCTTAAAAAAAAAAACCTGGAGTTGACCCGTTCGTACCTCGGAAAATTGGTACATGTTTTATGGGGTCATGTACCATTTTCTAAGGTACTGGGTCAGTCGGGTTCAGGTAGAAACCATTGGAGCAGGATCCGATTCTGTATGAACTCTCCACTGGGCTACGATTGGTCCCTGAATCGGAAACAGCTGGATCCCTTCGTGTTCGACACATAGTCTGGAGGCCGCCAGGGCTTAGAGTCCAGTCATACCTAACCTGAGATTCGGTACAACTGGATCCCTTCGTCACTGGCCCGTGCCGGCCATGTGAGGAGGGACCATGTGAACCAATCCGTGTCCTCCTTTAAGGTTGGTAGAGAGGTGGACTCACTCCACCTTCACAACATTTCGAGTGTTGAAAGCCCTACAGTAGTGCTCCTCAGGCACCGGTCGTCCCGCCGAACCGAAACGGTTCGGAACGACTGGAGCCCTAGGGGAGAGTGCTTAAGGAGCTTGCAAGGAGTGTAAAGATCTGTACCTCGAAAACGGCCAGGGGCGAATGGGATCCTCCCATCCGGATGCAGGACCATGCGGCTTAGCACCTGTAACCCGAACCAACATTCACCAAATGGATGGCTCCAACCATATCCTCAGAAGGTGGTTAGACCCCCAAAACCCACCCCAACCACCTTCTCAGGAGGTGGTTGGAGCCCTAGGGAATTACACCATCTTCATGTACTGCTAGACCTTCCGAAGTCGGGGTCTCTGGAATTCTCAGGCCCACCCACAGGTCCACCCCCCGCTCTGACTCCTCGGTGCTCCCGGTACCCCGCGCGCGGCCACACGCGGCCCGCACGCGCGCTCTCCGTGCTTCGGCGGAGTGTGGCGAGGCGCGTGGGCGTGATGCTGTACGTCCAGGGATCTGGAGTACCGAAGCAGCCTGGGCGTCAGGGTACAGCTGCTGACGGGCCGATCAATGGACCCACCCGGTACGGCCTGTTTCTCGGCCAATATGATATCTGGCGTGGTTCCAATTTCGAGGACGGCGTGGGAACAGGGAGGTGTTTCATGTTCAAACACGTCATGTTCATGTCTCACTATTTCTGAGAAGGTGATTGGACACGCTTTTTGTACATTGATCTTTTGGTAGGTGCCAGGAACGTCCAGTCGTCCCTTCGGAAAACATCTCGTTCAGAGTGCCAAGTCGAAGGCTGCTGCAAGACGGAGTTCCGAATACAATTCCTCCAAAATCCCCCTGACCCTGACCAAGGTCGACAGCGTCACCCGCCTTGCAACTTCAAGGTCGAAAGCAGCAAGATCCTGAGCTGGAAAGGAAAGTCACCCAATTTACCAACCAAATGCAGCGCACCCTAAGGATCCGTGGGCCCTCCAGAGCAGGTTTTTGAGGGTCCTGAGTCCTGATTATTAGGGGGTATAATCAATTCTCACACCTAGTCAAACCTAGCTCTGTAACTCATTGAGATCACGGTTCTTGGCACCAAATCCATACCAAAGAAGGAGCTCCCTGACCGACTACCGTGTCCGAACGCGAACTTCAAGGACAGCCCGGGTCCCCGGAATTGGTTTCCCATGGTTTCCCCAAACAGCCATTTCCTATGTAAAGGAGCTCAATTGCCAAAATGGAGCAACCATTTTGTTTCTGGTTGTTTGGGGTTCCAGCTATGGATGGTCTGAGCTATGCCGGCACCATCCAGTTTGGGTGGTTGATAGATGTCATATTTACCATCCAAAAGCCATCCAGACTGGGTGGTGCTGGTAGATATGTCCATGGATGGTTTGGCTCCTATAGGAACTAATGAGAAGCAAACACCCAAGGCCAGAATTCAATGTATCCATGCATCTGTATCCCCCATCGGAACTCCTGAGCTCAAGTTCCCAGTCGACTGTTGATGGCCACCACTTGAGAAGACTGAGCTGTTCGATTCTGAGTACGATTTGCATCTACACTCTGACGAACACATCACATGGAAGTGGAAGATGGTCCCGAGTTCGGAGTTTACGAACAGCCCTAAGAATCCAAACGGGCTCTCCATGGCAGGGGTCCGGACCCTCAAAACCCTATGTGTTGGTTGGGGCCCGGATTCTTAGGGAGGGCAGAAATTGTTCTCCACTTCCCGTGGTTTTCGGTGTTCGGCGGAGTGCACCTGGACCCGACTGACCCAGTACCGAACAGGACCATGGGACGTGTAACCCCATCCAAAAACAGGTACGGCGGTCTCCATGGCTCCGAGGTACGAGTTCCGGGTCGACTCCAGACTCCAGTTACATTGGCCCCATGGATTCCCAGACACTCCATGGGACTGCCATAGGACTGCCGATCAGGCCAGGGGTGGTGCCAAAGGGGTCTGGCTTGATCGGCAGTCCGCCCTGGCAGTCCCATGGACCGTCGTGTCTGGGATTGGGACTCAGGTTCCGTCCGATGCTCCGTCCCCATCCGCTCCCTCCACGTTGGCCCAGTGTCGCGCAAAGCCACCGATGCGGTCGCGGTCGTCGAGGAAGCGTCCTTCGGACGCCATCGGACACCTGCGGAGGCTGCATCGAGAGGCTGATGGGCGGAGATGGCATAGGGACTGCCGGAAGTGTTGGGACTGCGGTCAAGACATGGAGTTAAAGGAGTGTAATGTTTCCTCTACATAGATTTAAGCCCATTGATGAACCTTAGGAAAGTGACGAGCCTTCATGTATGATATTAATGGATGGTCTGGGGAACCTCTCCACAAGGCAGGCAATGGTCATAACGCATGGTATAGACAAGACTCAAAGCCCAAAACACAACAGTTCAATGTGGGTGTTTCATCAAGTCCCCCTCAGCCTTGACAGTAGCCAACTAGCTGGGCTGGTATTCTGCAGTTTTTGTGGATGCGGCCACTGCAGCGAAAGCAAGGCAGCCACAAACCACAGATAACCTTCTGTCAACTGGCCACCTATGATGTTTTTGCGGTCGATACTTTGTAGCACTTGCGCACAAAACATGCGTCAGCTCCGTGCGGGCTGGAAGTCACTGCAAGTCCGAATGGCAACTCGTGGCAACTTGTGGCCATTGTCCCAACTTGCCTTGAGGGATCCTGACGGGACAAAAGGCTTCACGGTCCACCCTTTGCCACTCTGTCATAATCCATATGCTCCTAGCCTACCTTCTGAGAAGATGGTCAGTAGCCCTAAGATATTGTATAGAGTCTTGATTCATAAGCCCCTCCATTGTTGGATTGTAAAGCGCCTCATTGAGTAGTGCTTTAAGTTGACCAAAATCAGTCAAACAAGGTCAAAAAGACTCTTTACCAGCACCCTCTGACAGGTCACCACCTGCCACCCTCCAACTTTATAACGGGTCTTCATTTCTAGCCACCAATTCGTTCACCTGTTTTCGTTGGGTGCTGGTATGCTTCAGCAACGGAGCACTAATACAATCACTTCAGTTCATCCCAACCATCACTTACCATCCCTAGGGCTCCTAGCCCATATCCTTAGAAGCCTTAGAAGGTAGTGAGACCCCCCAAATCCACCCACCCCAACCACCTTCTCCTCAGGAGGTGGGCCAGGAGCCCTAGGGCATGTCCAAAACTCCAAAGGTAGGGAGAACGGAGGGACGAACGTCCCGAGTAGTCCCAAAGAACGACGACGACTGCCGGCGCCTTCATCGCACCATCCCGCCCACGACTGTTCGGGCCCAGTTTGACCCGGAAGTAGGCGGGCTTGTGGTCGAAACGCTGCGGGGAGACGGGCCAGTGACCACATTCCACCTCTCTTGGTAGGCTTTAGTCACATTCAATCATGCGGCCCCGCTCGAAACATGCGGAACATCATCTCCAGGATCTCCAGGGTCTTTCACCAGAACAGCTCCACGAGGCTCGCGAACCAGGGGGTGTGAACCCAGAACCAAACCCAAACCAATTTGGCGATTGGAATAGTTACCTACTGGGTCATTTGGATGGGGTAAAGGTACTTAAGAACATGCATCTGGTGTTTTTGTCCTGTAGAACTGTAGACCGTTGTATATGTTTTCTTTTCTTGCATTATAATATAATATATTATAATTATGATGTACGCAATGGAAGCTTCAGTGTACACCAGTCCTGACACTGAAACACTCTAAACCCCAGCCGCTGTGTCGTAAGCACACGCTCCCCAAACACCCGTCCGATGCACACACGAAAGATCCTCAAAGATCCTCAAAGAAATGGGGTTGAGTTGTATTGGAATATGGAAACCCCTAAACACACTGGAAAAAGGATGGATAAAAACACAACCAATGCTTCCAGAATCCACTCTTAAAACCCTTAGGGCTCCAGGCCCATATCCTCAGAAGGTGGGCACAGATCCAAACCCACCCACCCCAACCATCTTCTCAAAAGGTCGGCCAGGAGCCCTGAGGAAATACACACCCAAATCCATTGCAGTGAAATCTGAGCCAGTGACATCAGTCCCGAACCCCCTCAGGACCCGTAGAGGTTATTTGTGGCAGCAGGTATTGGGAGACTTCGAATCGGTTCAATCCAGTTATCCTCACCAGAAGAATCCACACATCAAGAAGTGACTAGAGTGGCCTTCCAACACCCTCAAAAAAAAGAGGCTAAGAAGGTCCAGTGTGGCTATAAAATCGGTGAAGGTAAAGCTTCAAATCCTTCCCCCCCACCCCCTTTTCCCCAAAAAGAAGCACCGGGACTGGCAGCTTCACATCGCAGCTAAGCTGGGTGACTTGCTTTCAGCCAGGGAAGGTTGCAAAATCAAGCGGAACTGACCACATTTTACTGGACCCAGACGCTCCATGTATGCCATAGGACTGCCGATCAGGCCAGGGGTGGTGCCAGAGGGCAGTCCCATTAGTCGTGTCTGGGATTGTGTTCAAAGGTACGAGTTCCGGTTTTCGACGGCACACGATTGATTCCGGGGTGCCGACTTGCAGGACCTCTTCAGGTCGACTGGACACGGACAGGTCCAGGAGCGGACCCCTAGTACAGCTTTCTTAACTTCATCTGCCCAAACTTTGGACCGTGGGGGTGGGACCCGAAATCCTCTGGAGGGGTCGGGACCCGTCGAAGCCATCCCTACGTTTGGGGTTCGGGACCCAGTCGGGCGTGGTTCACGGGGTCGCGCCTGGGTGGGATTTGAGTGGGGAAACCCTCCCCCAAAAAGGGGTTTTCCAGGTGATCCACGGTTCCTGAACCCAAGTACGAAAGCACCTCCCAAGTACTACGAAAGCACCCGCCTCGACCTGGTTGGTCGTAGCAAACCTATGGCGGACCCGGGGGGACCCGAAGAGTAGGTCTCATGCAGCACCAAACTCTTGGGGTCCGGTGGCAAGCGGTGACCTGTAGAGTCGGTGTGCATCCGGGTTTTGCTTGGCCAGGGAACTTGACCCCAGACCTTCTGCTCAGGATTTAAATGGATTTAACCTTTAGAGGTTGAGTGGTAAATCCCATATATATACAGTATATATATATATATATGAACCGCAACATCTGTCTTATGCCCACTCACCACCCAAACCGGATAGCTACAAGCACAGCTACCAGGCATGGGGGCACGCACCGGGGCAACCGGCTCTTAAGGGCTACGGGCTACAGCTGCAGCTGATCCACTCTTCGTGTGTGGAAGAGTGGGCTCTTTGGGTCGTTTCAAGCTCACCGCTCACCCGAGGCAATCTGCCCACCCCTGCCTGGCCAACCCAACCACCTGCTGCCTGGCCAAGACTGTTTAGACCACAACACCAGGAAAGCTACCCAAAGGATCCATGGGACAGCAGTCCAATGGTGCACATGACGGGTGGTTTGGGTGGTGGTGAACTCATGTGGGTCATCGCAGGATGGCTCACACCGTGGCTCACACCGGGCTCCATGTAGCTCCTCTGCTTGGATTGGCGTCTCGTTTAGGAACCTGAAAGAACCAAACACATATTCCCCAGGTTACGGTTTGGGGATTTGATGGGACCATAAGGAACCATACCGTATACGGGATCCAAGTACCTTCTCAGAAGGTGATTGGAGACTATGTATGTAGGCTTGGAGGGCCCAAGTACCCTCTGAGAAGGTATGTGGATCCCTAGGGATAGAACATCACCCAGTTCTCCGCCAAACCCGCATTTTTTTCACCGCACGAACTTCTCCACCAGCCCCCACCAGCCCCGGACCCACTGGGACTCCGCGGCATCGACTGTTGGACTTTGACCTGGCCCTCGTGGTCCTCATCTTCGATGAGCTCTGTGAAGGCCTCAAGGCCCGGGCCCCGTACTCGTGCCGCATCCACTCGCGCCGCGTACGTCCGTGGCAGTCTGTCGGGAAGCTTCGGCGCCCCCCACAAGCGTTGAAGGGATGCAAACGAAAAGGACCTTGGGAGTGTGAGAAGCTCTTCAGGCTTGGGCGTGCTTTATTCATCGTCTACATTAGAACGTAAAACCCTGCAAAAGGGCCAGGGGGTGCTTGTTAATACGCTGCGGTGAAATGAAACGATCTGTGCTTCCAAAGTTGAAAACAACACGAAGAACGCGTGCTCTCGGAATCCGACCGATTTCATAGCATAGTTCTACTGATCCTGTTAGCTCTCAGGGGGTGGAAGTGATGTGTCCCTTATGAATAGGTGCAGTGAAATCGACCTGGTTGGCATTCCCAAGCAGCTCATGTATACACTGTGTTGATGTCAAAAAAAAACAAAGCGATGTGACCCCTACCGTTCTGGTAGCGATGTTGATTGAATCAATCAGTCCACATGAACCTCACCCAGTACACTCCCAAAAACTATAACATAGGAAGAGTGTTTTCCTCTACCAACCAGTGGTTTTCAGGGTCCATGGGATCGTCTTCCAGGTTGTGAGTCCAGGAAACATCGTGTTCTCTCACATGCAGGAATCGCCCCGATATACCAACCAAGCGATGCCTTCCATTCCTGTTCCCGGCCCTATATAGGCCCATGCCGACACATCCCAAACGTCACGCTTACAGCGGGAACGTACCCAGGCCAAACGACTGGAACAGTTACCTACCCAGACGCTCCAAACAGCCCTTGGTCCCTCAAAACTTAAGGAATTAAGACCCCAGACCCCTCCAGAGGATTCGGGTCCGACCCCTCCAGAGGATTCGGGCCCAGGGTCGCGTCTGGGTACATGAAAACCCCATGCAGGTAACTCTTCCAGTCCCATTCGTCTGGTCTAGGACTCAGGATGTTCCGTCCCAAACATCGGCGCCTCCAAGTAAAAAGTGCTGGAGCTCCCGATGATCATCGGCAAAAACCGCATGGCACTCAGCTGTGATCTGCGAGGCGAGGAGACCGAGCACCGAGACCGGAAGATCGATGTTCTGACCGACTCGCGACTCGTCACGGGTCGGGTCGGGGGTGTTCTTTCGCGGCGGGGTGGCAGAGATCTGGCGGAACAAAAAGAGCCAATTGGAGTGGCTGGATCTTGGATTATATCCGTATAGGGCTCCTGGCCTACCTTCTGAGAAAATGCGCCAGGGGTGGCGGACGCGCCGCACCCGGTCACACCACTGGTCACCGTTCAGCCTGGTCGTGTAGGGCCGTTTGCAACCGCTCGAAAATAGGGTGGGTGCGTTCTGGGCGGGAGACGACATAAATGTCATCCAAGAAGGCGAAGAGAGCCTCCTGTGGTTGGAGGGAAGCCTGCACAGCTTCCAGCGCCGGGTGCTGGGCCAAAGCAAATAAGGCCGGCATTAGAGGGTCGCCCTGTTCGCCACCTTCGCCCTGCACGACACTGTGGACGTTCCCTTCCCCATCGTACCTAAGGTACTCGCTTTGGCGCCCATAAAATTGGCGTGCGTAGGGTAGGAGGCCGTGCAAAGAGTCGTGCTGGAGCAGCCCAGCGAGCATAGCGTGGTCGTAGGCACCGACCCCGTCGACGCTGAGGACAGTGGCCCGCGGGGCAAGCTCCGTGCCGACGCGAAGGGCACGAGCAAGACTCTCGGCCCCAGCCCGAGTGCTAAGCGCGTACTGGAAGGGCATGCAGGCGGCTTGGAAGCGCGCTGCAAGCTGCTGGGCCAGCGTTCGGGCGACCAGGCGCCGGAACACGTCGCCCAAGACAAGGCCGCGGACACGACCATTGGGTTTCTGCAGCGCGACAAGGCGACCTATAGGGCCAGGGCATCAAGGATAGGCGGTGGGAGCGAAGCTGCAGCGAGCCGCTGAGCCGCCTGAGCAGGCGCGTATCCTCTTCAATGTCGAAGAGAATGCGCAGGTGCTCGTTGGTGCAGCCGCTGGGGCCGGCAGCCGCCCCTCGGCGGAGGTTGGAGGAGAACCTTTCCTCTCAGAGGGCGATGCCTTCGGCTGGGCGGAATGATAGAACCTCGTCGGAGAGGGCGACCTGGCGGGTTGGCAAGGGCTGCCAATGGCTCTGCAACGAGGGCCCGGCCGGCAGCCGAGAGCATCGATTTGCTGGGCAAGTGTCACTGCGCGGGCGGCCCGTGCATCCTTCATGAGTTCTCCAACAATCCCAATGGAATGCTGACCAAACTCTGTTTGAATCAACAAGTGTCCACTCCTTGCACATCCCTAGGAGCCTCAATCGACTTGAGATTCAAGGCTTGCCGCAGAGAGTTTTGCGTGCGTAGGAAGCCACCAACAACATTGGTGGCGCACAGCGAAACCCCCGTCTGTAGCCTTCTCATATTCATACACCAAAGGTGGCATAGTCTTCAAAATCATGAGCAACCCTCTTCCGGCACTAATACCCGAATGAACGGCGATCTTCTTCTTGTTATCTCC